AAAAGAAGTAGCTGTAATATAATTGATCCTGACCAGGCATTTCGACTTCAGTCACATTCTTACCAATGTGATGTGATTTTCCTCTATCTTTTCTGCAAATATTTTTGTAGCAATTGTTCTGTCAAGCTTTTTATCTTGGTGCTCTGACTACATGAATTTAAGCATGATACTAGATTGGCAATTAGGTCCCACCATTTTACTGATGAAATAACTAAAAGCAATTACCACTTCTACTCCAGCAGTTTCTTTTCTCACACTTTCAACCTGTAGAACTCTGTTCTATTTCCTTGCTTCCTGATAACTACAATTTTCAAAAAATTTAAATGTGACATCAATTGCCAATCTTCTACCTTTCTGAAGACTGTTCATTTTTTTTCCTTTTCTCAATCTTCTCTATTGTCAGGATTTTCACTATCTTTCACTTTCACTCCATGTAACCCCCTGAATACTACTGGTATTACTGCCTTGCTTGGAGTGAAATGAGTTTTTTTTTTTTTAAAAGTAAGGTTTTCAATAATTTAAACAAATTTTCAATCAGATAAAATAATAAAAACTAGCATTAAAATATAATCATTTTATTTCCCTTCAAACTTACAAAAGTACATTCATAAGTAAGGTTTTCAATAATTTAAACAAGTTTGCAATGAGATAAAATAATAAAACTGATTTCAAAATATAGTAAATTCATTTCTCTTCAAAATTATAACAGTGCAGTATTAAATAAGATTTATAATGTCATAAAACAAGTTTTGGATCAGATAGAACAGTAAAAATAGTAGTAAAATGAATTAAATTTATTTCTCTTTGAAATTATAAGAGTGTATTGATAAGTAAAGTTTGCAATCAGAATAACAAAACTGGCATTAAAATGAAGTAAATTTATTTCTCTTCAAAATTACATATGTGCGTTGATAAGTAATGTTTTAAATCATTTAAACAAGTTTTATATCAGAAAGAATAATGAAACTGGTTTTAAATTAAAGTAAATTTAATAAATAAGATTCTGAAATTTTATAAAACAAGTTTTCAATCAGATAGAATAATAAAACTGATATCAAGATGAACTAAATTTATTTATTTTCAAACTATTTGTGAGTTGATTGATGAGTAAGGTCTCCAATCCTTTTAAACAACTTTTTAATCAAATAGAATAATAAAACTGGTATCAAAATGTAGTAAATTAATTTCCTTTAAATGTTACAAGGATTTATTGATAAGTAAGGTCTACAATCCTTTTAAACAAGTTTTAGATTAGAAATTATAATGAAACAGTTATCAAAATTAATTTTTCTTCAAAATTACAATTTTATTTTTGAATATAATTACCATTTAGTGTAAAATATATCCTCTTTTTCATTACATCCATGAAAAATGTTCTGGTTTACTTTTGATCAAATTGTGTCAAATATCTTGAACTTTAGCATCTAATAAAAATATTTCAAAGTCTCTTTCAATCTTAGGAGCACCCAAAATACTGATGACACCAAATCAAAGCTCTATTAAATATCAGTAACAATTACATGTCAGATGTTTCACCAGCTATGCTATTTCTTGATTGCAATATGGCTCTGTGTTGTGGTGATACAGAAAAATGAAAATGGTTTCCCTTTCAGGCTTTATTTTGTGGATACATTGCTTGAGTGCTCACAATGTTTCAAATTTCTTTACCCAATTAAATCATTTCCTTTGGTAGAATGGCCATATAAATGCCTTGTAAAAATTGTGAGCATCATTTTCTGGGCTCAAGGAACTATTTTCAAATTCCTTAGTTTCTAAGAATCTACATGACAATATTCAATAAATTTTCTTTTAGAGTAAGACCAGGCAAAAAAAAAAAGATTTTCTCAAAAGGACAGATTTTCTCTTGACATCGCTACTACTTTATACTCCTGCAGTAATTTTTTATTATTTTAAAAAGCTAATCTTAGGATTTTAATAAACCCATAACATATGAAACTGAATTCCACATTTTTCTTAAAAATTAAAAACAAAAATGTAAACATCTGTCTACATTTCTTAGATGAGGTATTTGTAACTATTTACACTATTTACATTGTTCAAATCTTGTCCTCATCTTTATTGCCATATTCACAACATTTCAGCCATTGTACTTTTCAGCTTTCTTTAGGTGATATACATTGAAATTTCAAACTGAACTGTTTTAGTCCACAGGGTTAGATTGTTCTAGTTCCACATGCCATTCCTTTTTTGGATATCTCAGATAATACAGTGCTAGAGAAAAACAACAATAAAAAGAATTGTAAAAAATGGTTATTGAGACAATACATTAGGTTTATAAGTCCCCAAAGTTTATTCACTGATGTCCCCAAGCACATATAGTCCAGTGGATAAAAGCATTGGTTGAAGTAATCCAGTGACTTGACCTAAAGTGTTGTGAGTTCAATACCTGGTCACAGCAGAGGTTAACAAAAAGTTGGAGAGTTGAGTTACTAAAAAAACTGAAAATGAGATGTCCAGAAAAGGCATGACATGTGGAACTAGAACAATCTACACTTGGTGGACTAAAAAAAGGGTTCAGTTCAAAATTCCAACACCGGAAGAAGTTCAGAGCATACAGCTGCCAAAATGTTGTGAATATGTCAATAACAATGAGAACAGTCCAAACAATATAAACAGTGTAAAAAATGTAAACACTATTTATTCAATCATTTATTTATAAAGTTATTAATTTATCATCTGTAATTAATCTAAAATGGATAGCTCATGTAACTTGAAGGGGAAATAATGACATAATCATGATGTCAGCATTTCACACTACATCAAACAAAAGGTTAGGAAGGAAACCCCATCAGTATTGGTAGAGTAATAACAGCTACTGAATTTAAGAAACCTATTTTCCCAAAAAATTGTTTTAAGAGAAAGATTTGATAAATTTCAACTAATAATAGCATGGGTTGTTCACTCAAAATATTTTCTTATAAGGAAACACCTAATATTACTATTACCATTAGAGATGAAGAGGACAGATACTACAGTTTGATCCTAACCAGATGGCTACGTAGTGAAGAAAAGAGTAACTCGAGTAGTAATGGCTGCTCGGTCAATAAATGCCAAATGTTTCCTTATAAGGAGACAGTTAATATTATTATTACTATTACCATATAGAAATTAAACTTTTGACTTTTCTTTGGACTTTGGGGGTTTTGTTTTGGACTTTTTGGAAAAAAATATCTCACAATGTAATTGTTATGGTTTTTTAAAAAAATAAATTCAGTTTCAGACTAACATATGAATTTGTTGCAATTAACTACCACAAGTCATGGTATTCACTTTCATGTGATATGGTTTTATTACATTTCTAGAAGTAGCTATTTGCAACAATAAAAGTTACCAAGAGACTCTATGGTCATAGCAGGTGTCAAGAGAAAAAAGGGGTTTTTTTTCTTCATTTTCTTTGATTTTGTTTTATTTGTTTGGTGCTAAGTTCAATTTTTGCCTACTTTTCTTTTTATGATCATAATGTCAACCCAAAATTAATCTGCACTGTACATGAGTAAAAAATCCCCCCATTCATGACTTGGCACAAATTTTTCTGTAATTATACACATCAATGGTTATGATGCATTCTTCCTTGATTAATATTTAGCTTTAAAAAATATCTCTCTGCCTAATTTTTTTAATCATTTCATCTCAATCAAGGAAATAAAGCCACTAAGACACAAGTGGTTACTGAGAGTAAAAGAATTTCAGAAAAATCATTAAGAAGAGAGGACAATAAGAGGATAGGATTCAAGGAGACAAAAGACAACGATTGACATTGCATTTAAATTTTTGAAGATCAAAGTTGACTAGAAAACAAAAAACCAGAAGAGAATTCCACAGGTAAGAAGTGCAAGAGAAAAAACTGTTACCATAGAATTTATAATCGCATCTAGCTATTTCAACTGTAAAATGGTGTGACCTTACTGTTAATCTAGTACTGTACTTAAATTTGTAAAGTCAAGGTAGCAAAGAGGAAAGCTTATCAGAACAGTTAACATGAAAAGGTGCAGGGAATTTATTTTACAGAAGTGAGAAAGTGACAAGATGCTAGGTTAGAACCAAGAACATTGCAGATTCTTCTTTGGATTTTGTTAAGAATCTTTAAATATATAGCAGAAGTACCTGATCAGATGTGGCAGCAATATTCTATGCATGGATGAATTGTAGACATTTAAAGGTGTAAAATAGATTCTGGCATGAATATTTATTATTTTCTATTAACTTTTTAATAAATTTGTTGATTTTCTTCTATCATGGTATCCAGCCTTCCTAGATTCTCATCATGCCTTATTAATATTAGATATGCTGCTCTTTACTTTTCAAACACACTCATTTTATCTATCCTGCAACTTTTAGTTTTATATATAGACACAGATGGTGTACTCATGACAGACACACTCTATTACTCATTGTGGTCAAACAGTGAAATGACACTAAATATGTTTAAACAGGAACTTATGTACTACTAATTACATGTTCAAACATGATTCTGTCTTCACTTTTAAAGAAGCTATGTGGGAGGAGACTTTTATTTATCAATGAAAACTTACGTATAAAAAAAAAGTAACTATATTTTTAAGAATTTTTGCTGAAAAATTTAATGAATTTATGTTAGCTTTTGTATCACACTAAAAGATTTTGCTAACTGATTAAAAATGAAAAATCTTTGCTGTTTCCTTCTATCAGGGATGGGTTAAATTATAAAACAAAATAAGCACATGATTCTGACACCAAGAAACTAGAGGGTATAAAGTGAAAAGGTGGGGGGCATAACAATAGAAGGGGGTGTACTAAAAGAGAAGTGGTACCAAAAGTAAAAAGACATACCGAAAAAGAAGTTTGCCAAAAGACGAGTACAAAAAGAAGAGTACAAAAAGGGGAGTACAAAAAGTGAAGAAGAGGATCACAAAAGAAGAGGATACCAAAAAAGAAGTGCACCAAAAAGACGAGTACAAAAGAAGAGTACAAAAGGGGAGTACAAAAAGTGAAGAAGAGGATCACAAAAGAAGGGGATACCAAAAGAGAAGTTCACCAAAAGACAAGTACAAAAAGAAGAGTACAAAAAGAGGAGTTCCAAAAGTGAAGAAGAGGATCAAAAAAGAAGAGGGATACCAAAAGAGAAGTGCACCAAAAGACGAGTACAAAAAGAAGAGTACAAAAAGGGGAGTACCAAAAGTGAAGAAGAGGATCAAAAAAGAAGAGGGATACCAAAAGAGAAGTGCACCAAAAGACGAGTACAAAAAGAAGAGTACAAAAAGAGGAGTACCAAAAGTGAAGAAGAGGATCAAAAAAGAAGAGGGATACCAAAAGAGAAGTTTGCCAAAAGACGAGTACAAAAAGAAGAGTACAAAAAGGGGAGTACCAAAAGTGAAGAAGAGGATCAAAAAAGAAGAGGGATACCAAAAGAGAAGTGCACCAAAAGACGAGTACAAAAAGAAGAGTACAAAAAGAGGAGTTCCAAAAGTGAAGAAGAGGATCAAAAAAGAAGAGGGATACCAAAAGAGAAGTGTACCAAAAGAGAAAGGGAGCAATAAAAGAAAAGGGGAGCACTCATGGAAGAGGGGCACCAAAACAGGTTTTTTCCATCTTTCTAAAAGTATTCTTAGACAGACTAGATTATATTTGCAATAAAACCCAACAGACCCCATGTCAAAATGAGTTTAAAATAACTAACAAAAATTAACCTTGCCAAACTATTTTTGTGGGGATCTTAAACCAAGAAAACTTGGCTCCATTTTATTTCTTTAAGGAAAATTGACTTCAAGAACATTCTTGAATAACCAATGTTCATTCCCTGATATCTCAGCCTCCACTAAGGCCCTTGCCATATTGACAAAATATGTTTATTTTAAAGTCTTATATGATGTGAATTGAAAATTTAACAAGCACAAGGGAAATTAAAGGCATGAAAATCAGGGAAAAACAGTGATTAACCTAGTAAAGAGGGACTGGGAATCTAATATTCAAGACAAATCAAAGGCAAGAAAAGCAAGGCCAAATAGTGAGTAACTTAGGAGAGAAGGTCTGGAGAATCTAACACTCTCAAGACATTGAATATAAGAGAATCAGGGGAAAACAATGAGTAAAGTACCTGATAATTAAACAGTTTATGGAACAAGTACCACAAAAAGAAAAAGATATATATTTTACCATTTTTTATCATTTCACCTAAGCAAGGCAATAAAGATTCAAAGGGTTACTGAATGTAAAAGAATACGAGAAAAAGAAAACATTATTAAGGAGAAAGAGCAATAAAAGAACAAGAATTAAGAAAACAGAAGATAATACTTGACATTGCAACAAGCTGGAAAAGAGTTCCACAAGTGAGAAGTGCAATAGAAGAAACTTTAAGCATAGAACTTACAGTTATATTCTAGCCATTTCAACTGTAAAATGATGAGACCTAACTGACAATCTAGTAGTACACTTAAATTAATAAAGTCTATGTACTATAGATGAAAGTTCATCAGAAGAATTACCATGAAAGTATTTCTAGAAAAGGCAAAGGGAAGCTACATTACAGTGGTGGGAAAGCGACTGAAACTGTGATGCCAAGTCAGTACCAATAACATTGTATATATTTCTTTATATTTTTTTAAGAATCTCTAAATATATGGCAGAAGCAACAGGCCAGGTGCTGCAGTAATATTCAATGCATGGATGAATGGTAAACTTATAAATGAATATGAATAAAGTAAATTACTAAATTAAATTGGAAGATCAATTCTTCATCGAGTTGTTATCATGAGGGGAACCAAGAGATAATCCCCTGTTGATGTCTGCTTACAGAAATAATTGTCCTTAATCCATCCCTGCTTGCTATACATATTTTACCATAGAATCCTTAATCCATCATATCAGAGAAATAATCCAACATAATACAGAAATAATTGGCCTTAATCCATCTCTTCTTGATATTTTATTATAGAACTGAAAATGCACATATTTAAATCATTTGCATTTTACATCATATAATCAGAACTAAATTGCTCAGTTTCTTTACTGTCACATTTAACCAGAATTTTTTTCAGTCAGAAAGACAGTTCACAATTCTGAGACACATAATGAGGAAGGATGGCTTGGAGAATGTAACACTCCTATGACATATTGAAGGCAATTAGAGTAGAAGAAAATAGTGAATAAATTAACTAATGAGTTTATGCAAATTGAAGGCACGGTGGAGTAATGGATAATGGTTCGGACTGAGGAATCGGAGAGCCGAGTTCGAATTCCAGTTGAATCCATTACATTCACTTACATGCTAATCCCCTTGGGGAAGATATGAATCCTCTTCTTCTCCCCCCAGATATGGGTAAATAGCAGGACAGACCTGTTTCTATAGCCAGAAATGGCAACCTACTGCAGGAAAAAATCTGCCTCGTCAGTCATGTATCAAAAGTTACATGATCGTCTAAGCACATAACATGGCACTTAACTGACTGATATGCATGTGCTAGCATGCATACACAGATAAGCAAATAAACATTCACCAAATTTACTTTAAAACATGAAAGTGCTCGATGTGGTTAGACAGAGCTAAAAAATATATATTAATAAATATACATATACCTTCATTTGGGGTGCGACTTAAGTTTTGTTGTTTACCAAACATGAAATATAACTTATGATTTAAAAAAGTAATATACTGGGTCTCATGGGAGGAATATTAAATTAAACGCAGATTTTTTTAAAATAAGTCAAATATAATATATATAAAACAGAAGATGTCTGTATGTATGCTATTTATGTCCACATTTCTCATGCAATTTCAATAAAATTGTGCACACATGTTGCAAATTTAACAAATAGGTCAAGACCAACTTTTCTGGCAGACAAATCGAAAAAAACTGAAGGTGGGTACAACTTTTTGCAAAAATCGAGGCAAAGTTAAACACAAACAAATTTTTTACTGGATGGGCTGATGTTCTTTGCACTTAATGCAGTACATAAATTCATATTATGATGTTTATGTAGAGTGCTTGATAGTTTTCCTGCGACATTGTCTTCACACAAAAAACTTCAAAAACTGTGAAAAAATCGGGTTTTTCGTACTACTTAAAATAAAAACTTAAATAACTTCCTTATTTTTTATCCCATCTTTTTCAAACATGTTTTAAAAAAATGCCATCATGCAAGAAATAAGATAGGTTGGTTTTAGTTCTGCTCACTTACCGGCATATAACAAAAAACAACGAAAAACTCTTAAAAAGCCCATTTTTTGGCCATATTTCCCTGATTTTACATCCGATACTTTCCAAATTTGCCATGTAAATTACATATGACACAAAGATTATCTCACATGAATGTTTAATTCAGGTTATTTCAGTTAAATGAATGAAATCTGCCACAAAGTAGGCCCCAAATCGGCTTTTGCCATGTAGCCAATAGTTTCTTCATATGATTCCATTCTAAATTGGGATTCAAACAACCATTGGTGCAAAGATCGTTTGATAAAGGATTATTGAAGCGTTAAAAGAGAAACATTTCTGAAGAACCTCCTATTAACACCAGCTTTACATTAAACATGCAAAGGAGAGGGGTGTTCATGCATTTGCACTTACAGTTGAATCAAGCTCTGATACTTCATCCCTGTTTTTGATTATTAGATTTATAAACAATTCCATACTATTTGAAAGTTATTACGGCCATAGGAAATTTACTGAATATCTAAAACATTGAAATAATTTAACCACGGGCAACAACCACACAAGAAGGTTTTATCAATGAAATTCATTTATTAAGAACACTCAAACACTTGCGAAGGACATACTATAAAAAAAGATTAGGGTGACGAGTAGATTAGTAAACCAATGTATGATACATGCAAGTGGGGACACAGGCAGACATTTCTAGACAGGGGATGCATCTATAC